GTTCATTGGTTCTCACTTTCGTACCAATATTCGTGGAGGCCAGGGAGGGGAGGGCACAGAGAGCGAGAGAAACAGTGGCCATCGGTCTCACGAAACAATTGAGGATCACACCAGTTTTAGTCTTCTCTCTCTCTCTCAGCACGCCTTAAATAGCCTAACCCCCCCCCCCCCCCCCCCCCCCCCCCCCCACCGCGCCCTTTATGTTGACAGTTTTATTTATTTACACAAATACCTGCTTCGCCGTTAGGCATTATGCAGGGGGGAACAAAAGAAAAACGCATTCAAAAAACATTTTCAGTAACGCAATCGACAATCATCCAGTACTACATTTTCACTCGACCACGCTTCTCCGCAGTCTGTCATAAAAGACGTCATTATTGATAATAGCTATCAGTTCTTCCGGAAGGGCATTTTACTCCCGGGCGCTTTGAACAAAAAATGAATAGCAAAAACAGTCAGTTCGATAACGATACTCTGCCGCAGTCTTAGAATGATTCCGCCTTGAAGGTACATGGTGTGGTTCGAGAATGTAAAGACCCTTTTCAATGCCCGTTTCCCCGTGATATATACTGTGAAAGAAGTTTAACCGCAAAAACTTTCTTCGAAGTCTAAGAAGGTCCCAACCCAGTCTATTCTTCATTTCTGTACAGCTCGAGCACGGACTATAATCGCCTGTGACAAACCTTAATGCCTGATTTTGAATTCGCTCCAACTTATTCGCGAGGTAACACTGAGGCGGGTCCCAGATGACACAGGCGTACTGTAAAACCCTTTATTTTCGTGGCCCCTATTTTTCGCGAATCCTTCACAGATGACATAATCGCGACCACTAAATTTCGCGAATTCCAGATGCCTGCATTGAAAATCTTAAAGGAGCTGCGCAACCATATTCAATTGGAATGTTTTTCTCTCTACACGAGCTTACTGGCACACCTGGGACTCAAGGATACTCACACGCAACGCCATTGGCCAAGAAACTCCTTTGTTGCGGTGTAATTTCAAGGACAAAAGCGATCATTTTCATTCAATCTCTCCCTCGCAAAATTTCATGACGTAACTCGGGGATCGCAGTACACCCAAGTGACGATATTTGAATGCGGTTCATAGATTGGACCCGAGCATTGCGTGGGCACTCGACTTGGGCTCGTGACAATTGCTAGCTCGAGAAGCATTGGGGTTGTGACCCGTGTCCAATCGCTCAAACGACGACAACAGCCGAGCCATAGCAATGTCTGGAACTCAGCGCGTGTCCTGCGCTTTGCCAACCCCAGCGCGTGGCTATGATCAACACTGGCGGCATATAATCGGCTCCAGATCACGTGGCCGCTTGTTCTGGCTGCGAGTTGAGGGGGTGAACGCTGGTCGTTTTTCTTAAATTTTTTTTTCTGGGACTTCTATTGCGTGGGGTGAAGAACGAACGCGTGTTTCATAGGTCATTAGCGTTATGGATCCGTTTTAAGCGGTATTTACGCAAAATACAAAAATTGTTGCGTCGCTCCTTTAAGGACTGAACTTTTCGCGCGCCCTTAAATTTCGCGAATTCTTCAATTCGTGAAATTCGCGAAAATTAAGGGCTCGCGAACATTAAGGGTTTTACAGTAGTCCAAAATTGGTCTGATAAAAGAAAAATATAATGTTTGTCTTACGCTACGAGATGTATTCTTAAAATTCCTCCGAATAAAAAATAACGTCTTACTTGCCTTTGCTACAATACTATCTATGTGGTCATTCCATTTTAGATTATTCGAAAAATAAACTCCCAAATACCTGTGTTTATTTACCCGCTCAAGTTCATAGTTTTTTTATCTTATATGTAGCCATGCTAACAATAGATCGAGTTGACCGTAAAGTGAGGAGTGGACGCGACCACCTTGCCCAGACAAGTAAACCAAAAGAAGTATCGTCCGTACCCTCGAAGACGATACTCTTACCGCCGAATTCTGAAACCTCACTCAAACTACACTCAAACTGAAGGCCCCTCCAATTCCTCGAGGAAGGCGTGAGGGCCGGCGCTGGCCAACCGCGACGGCGGATCCGTCCTCGCGATTGGGCAGCGCCGGCCCTCGCGCATTCCTCGAGGAAGTGGAGGGGCCCTTCAGTTTGAGTGTAGTTTGAGTGAGGTTTCTGAATTCGGCGGTTAGCCTCGCGCCGGGCGCTTGTCAGCCGTGCCTTAAGAGCGTGCTGGAATGAAGTAGTGCACATCAAAGAAAATGAGAATTCGACCCCCCCCCGCGCGAGGCTGCATCGTCTGTTACGCGGGTTGTGAATTCGCGAATCGAGTGTGTACGGACCCTCGTTTGATGTCTGTGCATGTGGCCGGAGACGTCGAAGAAGTTGGAAAGGGTGAACGGCGTAAAAGACAAAACACGAATAAACATGAAGAGCTTTCTCCTGCCCGGGAGAAGAAGAAAAACACGATGAACGGTGACGGAGAGCCTACTCGGCGTTGTCTCACTTGATATTTGTCTTCCGTATATTTGTACATGCCTTGCCCGTTTTTCTAGTGGTTCTAGAGATCTGTCATACAAAATATTGTGTTTTCTTTTCGGCTATTTTCTCCTTCCTGATGCTCTCTAATCTGTTGAACTTGCTATCTTTATGCTGCTGGATGTTCTGCTCGTACTGCTCCGGTTACTGTAATATGGACATATTTTTAAAAAAGTACCGAGTAATTAAAGTAATCCGTTACCAATATTTTGTAACGAAATTACATTACAAGTTACTTCCGGAAACAAATTACGTGGCAATTACAAAATTACTTGAAAAAGTAATGGATTACAAGTATCCGTTACTTGTAACGGAATTTTTCCGAAGTCTGTAAAGGAATAAATAGTTTTCGAGCAATTATCATGCCGCGTCAAATCACTGCGCAATTTGGGTAGTTGACCAAAAATAATATAGTTTATTTCAGGTACAGCAATGTGGACATTTTTATTCATCTGCATTCTTAAAAAGTGGTATACTCAATAGGCAAAGATGTGACACTATTCAGTTTTATATCGAACAAAACGTGAAATCTCTTTTTCCGAAATAAAGTCCGATGATTTGTCGACGTTCGTGGACTTCACGTCGAGTTTAGATGTCTTTGCTGTGTTTTGCTCAAGCGGGAGAGTCCTGAAGGGGGGTGAGTGGGGATGGCGAAACCATAAAAAGCAAGGCGGAGTGCTTCTGTCAGGTGCCAGCTTACAAGATGCTCTTTCTCGCTTTTATTTTTGCCCACTATCCTTTTCGTTTTCTTTTTACAGATTGAAAGACTGGCCACCTAGATCATAACGAATGGTCTCTTGGGGAAAATTTCGTTTGCGGAGGAACTCTTTGCGGAAGAAAGATGGTGTACGTTGCGTCGGATTCACCCAGTCAGGCACGCGCCGAGAATACATGAGAGACCCATCTGTTTCGTGGCGTTCTTTGCAAATTTCTTTTTCCCCCGCCCAGTAACTTTAGTGCGTGGTCTGTCCCACTTTGCGAGTAAGACAAAGTTCAAGGCGTGGGAGCTCTTTTTTCCTTCTCGTTGTACTCCTCTTTTCTTCGTGTTCATTCACCAAGAAAGTGGGTTCCATTTCTTTTTTTTATATATCTTTCTTCATTTTTATTTTCTGTATATTTCATTCGCGCGCTCTATTAGGGTCTTACCAGGGTCTTACGAAGTGCTTCTGTTTGTATTGGTGACGAGATGTCTCGGTGGCTCTCTCTAATGGTTCATATATGTGACGTCGAGAACTTGATTATAAGTTGCCAGCGACAATCTCCACGGTGTGCGTAAAAGCCCGGTTAAAGCTTAAAGTCATCCTATTCTTAAACTAACAGCGTACAGTTGACAGTTTGGCATTATTCTTATCTCCAATAATGAAAGTATAATTCATCATACTCAAGATGTAATAGTGAGCTTTTGGGTAATCATGAAAGGCCGACCACAGCGACGCGTTTGGTCGCGCACGTCGTCAGTAGTCACTGGAAGGATGAGAACGGTAGCACGTCCGTTTCGGATGCCTGTAGCCTCCAGCACGCGCCCGCCGCCTGCCGACGTGCTCTGAATGCGCCGCGAAGCTTGAAGCTCACGAATACGGACAGATGACCCCCGCCCGGCGTTGTTTTTCTTACCTTCGGCAGAACAAACGAAAGACCTACTAGAAAACAATAGACAGGCGAGCTAGTGAATTTTGGATATTCCAAGACCTTATAGAACGAATAGTTTAGACAAAACAAACTGGCGTGTTGCAAACAAATCGGGGAGGCTGTCAATTATAGTACAAAAACAAAAACAAAAAAAACAAAAAACATAATAAGTTTAGGTTTTTAAAGTGGCAGCTGGCGTTTTGAGAAACGGTTCGCCAAATGTTTACGGGAGGTTCTTTCTCAAAAGTGTTCCTGTATGCTTTGACAAATTGTTTCTTTCCCAGTCACCGGTATTCGCAGTGTTAACGATCGATAGTCGACAGTACAAATGAAAGATGATGAAACGCTTACTCGCTTTTCTTTCTTTTCTGTGTAGGTACTACGCCATCATGTACCCGCTGAGCTTCCGTTGGACGCGGAAGCGCGGTCCGCACATCATCCTCATCATCTGGGTGGTGGCAGGCCTCTTGTCCAGCGTCCAGTTCGTCCACGGCAGAGCCACAGAGTTCACCTGGGCGGGGGGCACTTACTACGACTGCAACGAGAACTGGGAAGAGAGCTCGGGAAAGGTACTTTAGAAGCCTTCAATCGTCTTTGCCATTTCTTTAAACTCTAGCTTTTTAGGCCCAACTACGATCAAGGTCATGTCGGCAAGGTCACGTACAGACCGTTACTCAAGTGCAAGGTCGCCTACTTAGGGTCATGTAATAACGTGGCTGAAGTGCAAGGTCGCGGATCAAGATCACGTAAGCGCCGGTTGCGCAAGCTCCATGTGCGTAATCGGCGGTCGCCTAAGCTCATAACGGCAGGTAGCTGAAGGCGACGCGACCTGACATCTTTGACGTCGTCCTCGAGTTCGTCCTAGATGCCGCTTTAGAGGTCGTCCTCAACATCGTCCTAGACGCCGTCCTTGATGTTGTCTCGATGTGTGCAAGGCATATTACAAACATTTCATCAGTGTAAAATTTTCCAATTGTTTCCATTAACGATGTTCCTGTAAAGCTACCATATTTCATCACGTTGGGTGGAATGAACGTGCGTGTAGTTTGTTGCGTGAAGGCGAAGGGGGATAACGCTAAGGGGTATAGTGCCTGTCACGCAGTGCCCATGATGATCTTGTCTAGAACTCCAGCATCGTCCAAGCCCGCGCATAATCCCCAGGGAGTCGGAATTTTACGGCTGCCGCTTATGAAAACATTCCTGACGCTTTCTCCGCTCCCCTCCCGGCCCCCAAACACACTCACACGTTTGGACAAGTCTCAAAGAATAGGAATAGGTGACGACCTTTATTTCCAAACTCATATACTTATAAGGCATGTAATGGAGCGTTGAAGGAGGGATCATTTAAAACTATTTAGAAGACATCAAACCGCCGTTTGGGGGATGTGATGAACCTTTATTTTGTATCGATTTTCCCGGTACATTCAGCCAGACTTGTGCCCGTTACTTGTAAAAAGTAATTAATTAGAATTACAATTACTTGGCTATCAAAGTAACGAATTACCGTTACAAATTACTGGCTTTAAAATGTAATCGATTAATTACTTCGTTACTTTACTCGATTACTTTTCAATTACTTTAAGAAATACATGCAAAAACGCGATTTTTCACTTATTATTCCTGTATGCGGTAATAAGGGAACTTATTAGCTATACGTAGACAAATATTACTAGCAGCAAATAATGTAAAAAGTTGTTTAAGTTTTGTGTTTAGTATTTATGCACATCAAGAGCAGTTGGCGTTGGAAGTTAAGGTCGTTCATCTTTCCTCTCTTTCGAGAAAAAGAGGAAAAATGAACGGCCCTGACCAACCTGATTGGACTGCACGAGCGCGCGTGCTTGGCAGTGTCACTGAAAGCCCGGAGCTCGCTTTTATAGCTTCTGCTACGCTCACACTTAAAGTGGAAACCGAGTATGGTTCGTTTTAGAAGATCAAATATTTTACCAAATCGCACACCCATATCGCTCATGTCACAATGGTATGCGTAGAAGCAGCATTATGAGCTTATGCGAAAATACAATTTGCGTAAACTCCATCAGCAACTCGCCGAGGCTCCTCTGAGCTCAAATAAATATCAATATATTTATAAACTGTTCGAAACGTACTTTACGTCATACGTCAGCAAATACACTCGGGCTGAAAAAAAAAAGGCAATGTTGCGAGTGTAAATTTGGGATGCAAACGCCTCATTACGAAATACACAAAATCTTATTTTCTAAATCACTGCCTTCCACAAAAAAAAAAAAAAAAAAAAAAAAAAATTAAAAAGCGCTTATTTTTGCGTGTTTCAGTCGGTTCGAATTCGTGGACTTCACAGATAAAAGAAGCTTTCTTTCGGGGAGACAGAGTAGACACTGAAACTCTTAATTCTCAGTTCCTTTGGTGCCTTTCAGTTCATAATATGGCGTTGTCGTCACATCATGTCTCTTGCACTGTCGCCATGATTCTCCAAAGAGGGCCGTGGAGACAGTGCAAGAGACATGCTGAAGGCTCACTGCTGGTACCTCTCGCGTATTTTTAGCCGTGGATCAGCGAGCTAGAGGCGGGACCTCAGTAGAAAATATTTAACAGCAGAAAAAAACAATCCATATAGATAAAACATTCCTACATAAGTAGGAAGAGAAAAAGAGAGTTTAGAGAAAGACAGGATTTGACAAGGGCTACACCCTACTAAGACGACAAAAACGCAAGGTTCTTGTAAAAAAAAAAAAAAGCTAAGTAAGAGAAACAGAAAAAATTCCCAGAAAACTCATCAGCGGGTGTGGTGACCATTGTGAGTATCGTTCTCCAAGACGACACTAGGTTCGCTTGTAGGCTGAGCTATAGGGTTCTGGTGTTTGTCTCTACTTGACCAGAAAGATGGAAAACTAGAGTCTCCAACACGGGAAGGAAACGACATGCTTTCTTTGCCGTGTAACAAGAAAAGATAAGAAAAATGTCACGTAAAAACATCAGAAGGCACTGGAGTTTTAAAATCCTCCTTGGAACTGGACGGCATCTGGCCTTTTGTCCCGTAAAGCCCCGTACTTGGAACTCACGGCGACTTCGACTCCTCCCCCGCACAAAGCGCAAACAAGCAAAAATAGGAGGGGAGGCTGACTCCCCACCGTCCCCCATGCACACGAAGTTGTAGTGGCTACTGTTTTTATTTAAAGAAAAAGACGCGAAGGAAAGCTATTAGTTGAACTTCAAACTTATTCACGGGGTGTTGCTTATGCCTTAACTCACGTCCTTCCGCTTCTGAAATCGGAGCGCGGGCAGGGACTGGATCGCACAAACTTCCCGATAATGATCTTAGCAAAAAGAAACAGCAGACGCAGCAGACCCACCCCACAATTCCAGTTTGGGAGATCCGTGTCATGTGACATTTTTATGGGCCATTACTCTTCTATTCTTCTTTCGCCCCACTCCGAATCAAGTGCCCAAGGCTCAGAAGGGGCTTCTCTTTTAGAGAAAAAGCAACCGAGACGCGACGTTTTTGCATCGTGTAAGCGACCCTACGGTTGTCTTAAGAAACCTCTTTAGCTGTGTGAAAACTCCCGTTTTCTTTCTTTGTCTACTTTTGTCGGGGCCCTCCTCTTGTTATCGTGCTAAGGGGACAGCAGAGTCAACTCCCCCCTCTATTTCCCTCTTTCCACCTTCTTTCTTTCTTTACCGAGATCCCGTCACAAGCTTTTGGGTTCAGTCTATGTGCCCCCCCCCCCCCCTCCTCCTCTTTCCGCCCCAACTCGGTGGCGCTACTCAAAAATCATATTGTTACAATTATGCTTCAGTTATTAAAAAAAAATCGAAATAACAAAAGAATGCAACGAGTAACTTGTGGTAATCCGTTACTAAAAAAGTAATGAAATTACGTTAGAAATTGCATTTCTAGAAAAGTAACGGATTAATTACAAAATTACTCAAAAGTAATTAATTACAAGTAATCCCGTTACTTGTAACGGATTACTTCCAAGTCTGCATTCAGCTGAGAGATCGGGTGCATAAGTCACGTGGCGCAAATATTTATACTCGATTTAGTGTTGTGACATTTGATGGATGTATCACGTGTCGTCAGGTCACGTGCCTTCAATTGCCTTGCTAAATTTAGCGGGAAAAATGAATTGGTGTATATGTCACGTGACATCAGTTCAAGTGACGTCAATATTTCCACTAAATTTAGCTAGGAAACAAAGTTAGTGCACGTCTCATGACGTCATCTCGCGTGAAATCAAAATTGCCACTAGATTTAGCGAGGAAATTGAATTGGGGTATAGGTCGCGTGACATAAATTCAGGACACATGACCTAAACACCACTTAAGTTTCCCTGTTAAATATAGCGGGAAATAAACGGGTGGAGGGACAAAAGTTTACAGTTGCAGGGTTCCGGTAAAAAAATATTTCATGCCTTAAAAAAAAAAGAATGTTCCAGTGGTGGTGTGAAACCGTAGAACCATACACAATTAATTCGTTCGCGCAAAGCATTGCCGTGTATCCACACCTGCCGCGAAGTCTCAGTGTCCTCAGATAGCAATGTCAATTCTACTCTCAGTGTCCTTCAAGCACACTTTCACAAGTCCCTGCGTGTGTACTATTGCCCCGCGATAACTTCCAAACACCAATATTGAATGTCAATTTTCATCAGTAACACACGGTAGCCGCTATTATGCTTCAAAGGTCACGCGTTGTCACCGGCAAAAACAGGTCTAATCAGTTGGCACCGAGACTGCGTGATAATTGTAGCCCGATAGCGCTTGCGATTCAATTGGCTAACCTGAACTTTCAATGATTGAACTTTCAAGTGTATCACGGAGCGGTATACTCGTTAGAACTTCTTAGAATGGATCATACTCTCATACACATAACGCTGTAAGCAAGCCCCTTACGCGTAGTCTGCCAGACTACGCGTACCATTATGAAGCTGGTTATGATGCGCCTCTAGTCATGCCTTTTCTCGGATCCGAACAATCACCCCTGACATCAACGATACCCCTTGCATTATGCATAATTAAAAACGCATTCCCGTTCATTAAGACGCGCCTTATAGGTCTTGCATATCCGGAAAGTTTGCGTGACGCAAAAACTTCCCCCTCTAACCTTGTGGCTGTTCGACGCGAAAGTAATTACGAGAGTAAGTCTGCTCCGCCGAGGAGGGTCATTAATATTAGGTCAAATCCGCACTATTCGACGCATTTCCCGATTTCCTTATCTAGTGAAGCCCACCTTTCCCCCGCGTGGCGTGCTTCTCTCGGGATTTGCGGTTCTTCCCTAATCGCGTCGGACACCACTAGGTGTCGCGCCGAGATGAGCCCCAAACCAGTGTGCCTAGATTTTGGAGGATGTCCAACATTTTGACCGGGGTCACGGAGTTTATGGACAACATTTGCAAGCTGTGAGTTAATGACCAAGACGTTGATCGTCTCCGAGCGTCTCCGCAAATACTTTACTAGTGGCAATAGGGAGTTTTTGTAGACTGTTTTCCCTACTCCGCTAAGCTCTCCGCAACGAAGACGCCGCCAGGGCGCATGCGCGCCTCTGGCCTTGTTTGCAGAGTTTCGGATTTTGTAGCGGGTTGCAGAGAGCGCTGCG